GTAACCTCTTCAGAGGATGGTGTGATAAGAATAGGAGGTAGGAATTGGCTAGGCAGTTAGGGTAAAAAGACTCCAAAGAAATGCAGCCAGTTTCTGGGCTAAAAGTCAAAATGTCCTTGGGCCTATTAGCAACATACTCTGTTCCAAAGGCCAAAAATGTCAAAAGTATTTGTGAGTTTGTATCTAACATTTAAAAGATTTTAGAGTTACCTCTTCAGAGGGGGGAATGTTGGAGGAGAGGGAGTGGGCATGTATTTGATCAAAACACCTAATATGCATGTATGAAATTATCAATAAAGTTGTAATTGTTTAAGAAAAAAAGAGCTCTCACACTGAAGGCAATAGGAAGAACTGAAGAAAACACAGAAGCAAACCTGCCTGATGGCATCTGAATCAGCACCACAGCCAAGAGTTACTGAGCCAAAACCTAGAGGGTGAAAACTCATTTTGAGACTGCTTTCCTGTGAAAGTCTTCTGATAATTAAGACCATCTAGGGGTAGAGAGATGGCTCGAGGTTAGGAGCACTTGGTGCTCTTGCAGAGGACCCAGGTTTTCTTCCCAGCATTCAAATGGCAGATCACAATTGCCTATTAACTCCAATTCTAGAGGATTAGACACACTCTTCTGGCATCTGTGGGCAACAGGCACGCTGGTGGTACACATACATACATGCAGATATTCATAAAACAAAACTGAATAAATCTGTATCTAAAAGACCATCTAATAACCTCAGTAAAATGTTTAAGAGAGTTGAGGACATCAGTAACCTTGTATACTTTTGGTTGGGAACTTGAAGGGCTGGTAATAATGGCACCCTAGATTACATCAGTCCTGGCATACACTATGATATAACTTGGAGTTATTTTCTTGCCTCAGAAAAATCTCTGGAATTAGATTAAGACGAGTTTAGTTACTAGTACTTGAGCTGTCTGGTAAAATCAGAGAGAAAAAAAATCTCTTCTGAAAAAATATAGTGTAACATCTAAACCTCAAACAAATTCTACAAACAATTTTCAAGTTAAAGGTAAACAAAAATAAGACAGAAGAGCAAGAAAAAGAAAACAAACAACAAAAACTAAAAACAGCACATCAGAAAGTCACTGGACCTCTGGATATTAAAAATACCAGACACAGCTTTAACCAGCTGTGATAAAGGAGATTAAAACAGTAGACTAAGAATTTCAGCATAGGACTAGAAACTATAAAATATGATTGACACATCTACAAAAGAAATAAAGAAAAATTAACAATGTTTTAAAACACAATAACCAAAACTGAGAACTCAAAAGATATGGCTAACTTCAGATTAGCTGTAGTTAAAAGAGAGGAAGGCCTTCAAAACCACAGAGCTAATAACTCTGAGTAGAGCTCCATTAAAGTGAACCCAGACCCAAACACACCAGAGTAAAAGTGAAAACAGAAAAACAACAACAACAACAACAACAAACCCAAAGATAATCCTAAAGCCAGGGAGGAAAAGATGGAATCCCCAGAACAACTAGCCTGACAGAACATCACACTGGAGACAGTAAAGCCAGAACACGGCAACATCTTCAAAGTCCTGACAGAAAACAACTACCAATCTCTAATCCTATAACCTAGGTAAAAAAAAAAAAAAAATTAAGCATGAAAATTAATACAACACAGGACCTTGGAAACAGTATAAATATAAAAGCCAAACACAAGAGGCCACAGATTATATGACTCCATTTATAAGATATACCCACAAAGGACAAACATGTAGATTTAAGACAGTGGTTGCCAGTGATTGGGGAAGAAGACTATGGAGTGGCTTCTAAGGGTTATGGGGCTTCTTTTGGGCATGATAAGATGTTTAGGAATTGGGATAGTTAGATGGTTCAGCTGGTAAGGGCATTTGCTGCCAGGCCTGACAACTTGAGTTTACTCCCCTAGGACATACATGGCAGAGGAAGAGAACCAATTCCTGCAAGCTATCCTCTGATCTCCCACATCATATGCATGTGTGCATACATACACATATGTACACATACACATGCACACACACAAAATGAATACATAAATGCAAAAATTAACTTAAATATTGAGGATTATACAGTGGTTATGGTTGCACAACTTTGGAATACACCCAAAATCACTAATTGTACACTTAAATATCATTTAAAGGGAAAACTTTATGTTACATGAATTTTACTTCAATAGAAAAGAACAAATATGAAGTAATAAATTATTAAACAAAGAATATATTAACAAAATTAACAGCAAAGGATATTCTTCAGTATAAAGGAAAATCCCACTGAAAATACAGAACACTATAAAAAGAAACTATGTGAAAAAGATAACTGAAAAACATAATGCACTATATTAAACATTGACAATGTTCTTGAGGGTTTAATGAGTTCTTAAATTTGAGAAGTACTGGATTATTAAACAGAGCTAAATAAGTATTAGAAAACAATCTTCTTAGAGAAGTCTTGCCTGTACAGTTCATGAGAGGCCAGACACCAGAGGCACCATCTCTTTAAAAGTACCAGTATCTGGGGGACAGGAGATATGGCTCAATGGTTCAAAGTACTGGCTGCTGTTGCAGAGGACCCACGTTTGGTTCCCAGTACCCATATAGCAGCTAACAACCATCCATAACTCCAGTTCTAGGGGATTTGATGTCCTAACCTCCATGACATTGTGTGCATGGGTACATTTACATACATGCAGGCAAAACACTTATACACACCAAATAAACATAAATGAATAACAAAAGTACCAATAAAAGTATCTGGGATTCTACTCCTAATTTAGAGTAGGCATGGCAATCATAAGTCTCTAATACATATTAATAAGCCCAAGAATCCACATTAAAGACCAATGTACTAGATTTGTTTCTATTTTTAAATTCTTCAAAAAACTTATTATTGAAGTAAAGCACTAAACACACAAAAGGTTGCACCTACCCTTTCTCAAACCCATCATTTTTAGAAGGAAATGGATACAAAGACTCGCTCTTCCAAAGTTTTTGACTCCCTATGCTTCCTCTCAGCGATTTCTTGGGAGATTTATTGGACAGTTGTACTAAACTGATTTCTTCTCTCTAAAAAGTGAGAAGATAACAAAATGGAAAATTTGCAAAATGAAACAAGAGAATGACACATAGCTCTGAGCATAACCTTGTTTGTTTTGATCACAGGTTCTGGCTCCCACTCTACTTCCTATCATATTTCCCATTCAAACAGAAATGCTTTCCTTTCCCACACACCAGGAAACAGGCAGCAGAGTGAAATACAATGTACAAAAAGAGGAGCCAAAGGCGTATGTGTCCTCACTTCCAGTATCACAGAGGCTGGCTCCTTCCAAGGGAAAGAACTTGGCAGCAATTCTTTCTTCCAGGGCAAATATAAAGGCTCAGAGCTTCTGTGGGAGAGGGGCAGGAGTAGAGGGGCAGGGAAATCAAACGAGGGCTCATGAGAAGAGAGCTCTATCTTAGGAGCATCATTTCCTTCCTTTTGTGGACATTTTATTTTCATTGTTATTTTCCGCATTCTTGAAAGATCTTTATGGCAAAATTCAACAATTTAAATTCAGAATACAGGATGCTATGTGCATTGAAGCAAGAAGTGTCCAGATAGAAGAGAAACAGATGATGTGTGTACAATATACATGACTGTGATAACATATACTGCTTAGAATAACATTCATGAAAATAGACAGGTGTGCAAAGAAACTGAAGTTATCAAGTTCATTAAAACAAAAATTCATGATGAACTTAAGGAAGACTTAATTAGTTGGCAGTTTTCTAGAAGTAGGTGAAATCAGAAGTGCTTTGTCTCTTTCCTGCTCCTTTTATTTTATTTTATGTGCAGGAGTGTGTTACCTGCATGTGTGTCAGTGCACCCGTGTCCTGCAACGCCCTCGGAAGTCAGAAGTCGGATCCCCTGGAACTGGAGTTAAGGACAGTTGTTACCCACTGTGCTGGATAGCTTTAGTGTCAACTTGACACACCTGGGTTGAGGGACCCTCAATTGGGGAATTTCCTTCATTGGACTGGCCTGTGGCTATGTCCATGGGGCACCTTCTTGATTGTTGAGTGATGTGGGAGGGCCCAGCCCACTGTGGGTGGTACCAC